GCTTCAGTGTCAAACTGCAATCACTAGTTCTCACTACACCAATATCATTTCTCCTCCTCTAGCACTCTACCCACACACACACCCCACATTCTGGACTGGAAAAGCTGAACTTTACAACTTTACTTTCACACATCCTTATCCCCTGAAATACACTCCTAAACTGAGTGACAAAGGACAAAACAGACTTATCCCCTCCCCCACACTCACTCACAGTCAATCCCCAGGATGTATTGATGTTTTGTGAGTTAACTTGGCTTATTTGTTTGTGTATGTATTGGAGTTAAGTTTATCTGGTAAATGGTCTGTGACATGAGTATGTTTGTTTGATGTACTGAGTTATTATTTGGAGTTAACAAAAATACAGACATTTGATGTTGAAAGTGAATTGATTTATTATTTTTCCTTTGTAAAATTCAGTAGCTAGGTCACCGGGCTATCCCTCTTTTTCTGTGTCTAAAAAGTTTAATTTATTCGGTCAGGGATAAGACCTACGCTACAGAAATGGCAACCACGAAGGGACACAAACCCCTGACATAAAGTTAAAAATGAAGAAAATAAGTTAAAAGTGAAAATAATTACATTGTGCTTGTTCTTCATGCATATTTGCTTGGTGGGTTTTGTATATGCTCTGCAATATTTATCCATCTGTCATATTGCCTTTGACTGTTTAAGTGTTTTATTTATTGAGGAACTATGTGAATGTATGTTGTACACAGTTCATACACTTCATTCAGAGATAACCACCCACACACATCATTATGGCTGATCTACCACCTGCTTCAGGGTTGCCCTCAGTTTCACATGACATAGAAGCCCCTGATGTGCAAACCCCAACATTTACTCATGGTGCAGGTAGTGCACACTTGTTTTCTAACTCCAGCTCAGCCTCTAATAGGGACACCTGACCGCCATAGGCACCCATGGCCGATCTCTAATCCTCATCTAGACCCTGTCAATCAATCTCTTGCGTGGGAAACTGAAGATGTGCATCACTCATCGAAAACAGGAGAGGGTGCCCTAAGTCTATCATCTTCCTCACCATATTCACTATCTCAGTGTCAGCATGAGTTTCCAGCATATATCCCTACTCCTGCCCGAGGTTTGAATTAGATTGCAGAAAAACACCAGCAAGATTGGGACATGCTACATAAAGAAATGGGTGAACAAAGTCGGTCAATAAAATAACTCACACTGAGTTTGAGGGGAGTACAGGATTCCACGAACGAGCATCTCAAGAGTCTTGCAGATCAAATTAGTGCAAATCATCGTCAACTCATCACAAAGACTACATCTCATAAAGATCGGGTGGAAAGAGAAATGGATAACATCGTGAAAGGAATCAAAATGGTTGTGGAAGAGGAACTGAAAAAATCTGAAACCTCGCAGCTAACACAGATGCGCTTCATGATGGAACAATTCCAAAGGGAAATTCAACAGGAGCTTAACGGTTGTCTTACCGATACTCAAAAAAGTATCACTGGGCTATCAATAACCATGGAAGTAAATTCACAATGATATCATCAAGTTGGCTTCCAATCTGAGAAAAGTGCAGGTGGAAAGTAAAGAACAAATACAACACCTTGAACAAAAAACCTCTGGTCTTCAAGGCGAGCTGGACTCTCTGAAGGAAGCAAAGTCCATTTCTACTTCTTCCAGCTCTAACACTTCTTGTCTATTGGATAAATCCTCAGCAACGGCAACTGTTATCAAAGGTGATCATATTAGGTTAACTTTTCCAACATTTGGAGGGCCTGATGATGATCCCGACCCCCTCAACTACTTGTCAAAATGCCATGACTTTCTTGCCTTACATCCCTTATCGAGCACGGATATTCTTGCAACCTTCCGAACTGTACTTCTTGGTACTGCTCGTGATTGGTGGGAAATCGCTAGAAATAAAGTAACCTCCTGGAGTCAGTTTGAGACCGTTTTCCTTGCAGCTTTCCTCTCAGAAGATTATGAGGACGAGCTAGCTGAACGTGTAAGAACAAGAAGTCAAAAGGAGAAGGAACCCATCAGAGATTTTGCTTTCTCTTATAGAGCTCTTTGTAAAAAATGGAACCCCTCTCTCACAGAGGCCAGCATTGTGAAAATGATTCTGAAAAACATCAAACCATTTCTTGCCAGTCAGCTCAGAGGTCAAGTTGAAAATGTTGAAGATTTAGTCCGTCTTGGTCATCAACTAGAAAAGGACCGTGAACAGCAGCAAGAATATAACAAGCGAATGAGTGTTAGGACTGTTAACCCTGTTCCTAAACCTAACCCCTCTCAGCCTGTGGATAAACCCCACCACTTTGTTGTGTGCTGGAGATGTCAAGGTAACCATGTTCCTGGTTCCTGCCCACAGTACAGTTCACCTGGCACTTCCCCTAATCCCTACTGGCAGCAAGCACCTAAGGCACCTCAGCGATTTTCCAAACAAAAAGGGATGCCTGGAAATGGTTCAGTGTCAGTTGTAAAATCGGGAAAAAAAGAACAATCAAGCCACCCCCAAGAGCAAGAAAAGTTGGATGTGTCAAATTCCACTTCTACAAACAATCAGCTGGGCACGTCTTCTAGTCCCCAACAGCTAGTTGTACCGATTTCCATAGGTACCTGGCGTGGAAAAGCAATAGTTGACACAGGAGCCAGCTACACTCTCATTCATGAGTATCTCTGGATGGAGTTAAAGGGATCAAATGTCGACCTCCAGCCATGGGAAGAAGGTCCTTTGTATCTGGCAAATGGTGAAGCAGCCACTCCCATTGGATGGGGAAACCTCTCTGTAAATCTACAAAATCAAGTGTCCACTCTCCCTATAGCTGTCCTTGGGCCCAAAGCTCTAGCCTATGGTGTGGTCCTTGGTCTAAATTTCATTTCAGATACTGGAATGATAATTAGTGTGGCTGATAAAGAGTATTGCTTTAAGTCCAACCCCTCTGTTATCTACCCCTTCCAGCCAGGGAATGCCAACATCCCTTGAAATAGATATTTAAAAACAAACCTAACACTGCATCAGCCAGGGCAAAGTCTTTCCCTAATAAGCTCCGTTCCACCACCCTTTCTCTCTTTGGAACCGGTGCGACTGGCAGTCAAAGATTACATCAACATCGCTGTGTCAGATGCAAACTTAAAAGATGGAGAAAAGAAACAATTACGACAGCTCCTTGAGTCTAAACCCCAGGTCTGCACAAATCAGCCTGGTAAAACCGATGTGTTGAAGCACACCATCTATTCCACAAACTGTGTACCGATCAAGCAAAGGGCCTACCGAATGTCCCCTATGAAGCAAACCATTGTGGAAGAACAATTAAGAGAGATGATTACTTCAGGAGTCATTGAACCTTCCCATTCTGAATGAACATCTCCTGTAGTTCTGCCACCAAAGAAAGATGAAGGCCACCGATTTTGTGTAGATTTTAGGAAAGTTAATGCTGTCACAGAAACTGACGCATACCCTTTACCAAACATTAACGAAATCCTCGAATCACTTTCTGGAGCTTCCCTTTTCTCCACCATTGACTTAAACAGTGGGTACTGGCAAGTACCGATGGATCCAGAAAGTAAAGCACAGACTGCCTTTGTCACTCACTGTGGCTTGTATCATTTCAATGTCATGCCCTTTGGTCTAAAGAATGCTCCTGCCACCTTCCAAAGGCTAATGGAGAAAGTCTTAGATGGCCTGCGGGGAGTAATCTGCCTGGTCTATCTTGATGACATAATAGTTTATTCATCATCTGTGACTCAGCATTTTGAGCGCCTGCAGACTGTAATGGAGCGACTTCACAAAGCCAATCTGACAGTCAACCTAAAAAAGTCCAGATTCTGTATGAAAGAAATCAGATTTCTTGGCCATATTGTCTCTGGAGAAGGAGTCAGTGCGGATCCTGACAAAGTCGAAGCAATAAGATCCTACCCTGCACCAACTAATCTCAAGGAAGTACAGAGGTTCTTGGGACTAGCAGGCTGGTATCATAAATTTGTACCCGACTTCTCAAAAATTGCTCAGCCTTTGAACGACCTGAAAAAAAAAGAGACCTTTCATCTGGAATCAAGCATGCCAGCATTCCTTTGATCAACTGAAGTCCAGTTTGATCTCTCCGCCTATCTTGGGTCACCCAAATCCAGATTGTCCTTTCTTTGTCTATACAGATGCAAGTGGTATAGGTCTTGGAGCGGTGTTGACTCAGAAAACGGAAACTGGGACAGAAATAGTTCTCGCCTATGCCAGCAGAACCCTAAACAGAGCTGAAAGGAACTACTCTGTCACAGAGAGGGAGTGCCTTGCAATAATTTGGGCTTTGGAGAGATGGCAACATTACCTGGAGCTAAAGCTATTTACAGTCATTACAGATCATTCTGCTTTGAAATGGGTTCTGTCATCAACCAAAACCTCCAGCCGCCTCATCAGATGGGCACTAAGATTGCAAAGGTTTGACTTTGTCGTGGAATACCGAAAAGGAAAACTAAATTGTGCCCCTGATGCCCTTTCAAGGATTTCCCCTAACTCTGGGTGTTGTCTCTTCTCCAACAAAACAGAGTGAAAATGAGAGTATTCCTATATCCCTCGAAAGAATTTGGGAAGAACAACAGAAAGATCATAAGGTGGAGAAAATCTTGACTCAGCTAGCGGAAGGAAACAGACCCATGGAACAGGATTTTAGCGTACTTGAGGATAACGTTTATCACAAGAAACAGATGTCAGAAAACCATTTCCATTAAACTAAAAAGTTTAATTTATTCAGTCAGGGATAAGACCTACGCTACAACGCCACCAAACACAGATTAAAACTAAAGTAACAAACCTGTTTTGAAAATGTAAGAAGTAGAAAGTACAGGTATTTGTGTTAGAAATGTAAGAAGTAAAAGTAAAAAGTCGTCAGAAAAACAAGTAGTGGAGTAAAGTACTGATACCAGAAAAATGTACTTAAGTACAGTAACAAGGTATTTGTACTCCATTACTTCCCACCTCTGCAGAAAAGATAAGTGAACTGCTGACAAATGTTTAATCGCTGACGTACCTGCACTGTGGCTTTGGGCATCCATGCGAGGGCAATGAACACTTTTTCCTTCATGTTGAAGCCCGCACACAGCACACAGACAAAGGTGAACAGTATTCGAACCAGCAGGGCAATGAGCAGAGAGGCTATACCCAGACCTAAAAAGCAGAAAGACAAGATTCATACAGATGTGTTGCACAATATGACTTCTATTCATTAACAATTGTATATCAGCAGCACTTCCTCTTAACAGGTTTGGGTAAGGAGTGGCAGATTAGCAGTGACATATAGAAATACACACAGGCTGGCTGCTTACAGTATGTGCTGCTTATACACGGCCCTACTAGAAATACGTTTAAACTGTGTGTTATGTAGGGTGCATGTGCCCATACATCTGTCATATTTACTCTTACACCTCGGAGTAAATGTATAGTACACAAGGAAATTAAACTGAGAGCATGGAGGACATTTGTAAATGGCCTAACAGTACTGAAATACTTTTTAATAACAGAGATGTTTCTGATTTCATGTATCATAACACAGAAAGCCTGGCTGTCATAAAGTTGACAGTAGAAACATTTCAAGTAAAGGGTTGTGACAGTATGTCAATTCTGGTATATTTTTGACCAGAAGCTGAGCAATGCTAGCCATCTGAGAGAGAGAGAGTGCAGTCTAAACTGGAATAATAGAGGTTTAATGAATTACCCACCTGCTCATATCTTTTTAAAGCACCACACAATTATTTTGAATGGGAGGTCAAGGGGATTATTTGTTACTAACATGTTTCTAAAGACGATGATGCTCTGTAGTCATGTCATATTTTTATTCATAACAAATCATTTTACAAGTAAATGATGTGTAGTTGTGTTTAATATACAGCTACTTGTAGAACACCAAATGATGTAGTTTTTTTTAACCATTTGTCGTGGCTTGGATAAGATTACTTTTTTAGAAGAATTCTCAGGTATGTTTTCCAAAGGTAATAGTATTACCTCAAAACAGAGAGGGACATCTAAATGTTCTAGGGGCCTTGTTTTTGCTTATGGAAATATATTTACATCCATACAGCTTCATTTGAATCCCACAAAGTGATAACAGCCACCTCACTGTCTTATGTTGTGTGTGTATGGGTGTGGTCGTCTCACCAACTGTGTATGCCTCCAACTCAGTGATACGAATTTCTGCTCCTATCAGTCCAAAGAGAAGAGGCTGGAACACGTCCCATGCCCAGCCCACCACTTCCTCCACACGTGCCTTAAAACAACACAGAGACAAATTGAGTTATGTTATCTTTTACATGCTTCAGTGTAGACAACTACTAACAGCCCAGTAGGTTGGTAAACAATGTGCTCCAATAATTCCTTATGATATACACTTTTCTGTCGAGTTAATCGTGTCGAATAATTCAACCCAATAGATGGAAAATTGCAAATATCGAGCTAACAAATATGCTGTATATAAAACCGATGTGGCATGGATATGTTGTTACCTTTTCTGAACCCCAGCCGAGGCCAGCCAGGAAGGCCAACACCAGTGTGCAGAGGCCTCCAGAGCCCGGAAACCCTGCCACACCGCTGCCAAACACGGCAAAGACGGACAGACCCAGCACCAGGAAGGATCGCTTCATTACTACGTGTTTCTGTGTGAGAAAGACGCTCAATTATTAAATGTAGAATATCTTAACATGAACAAATCTCAAAACACAAAATGCTCCATATAACACTTATAAAGTCCGTTTGAGGTAGTTAATGACATTTTACATAATGGTGGTTGACACTTTTTTTACGCTGCTATAGAGAGCTACATTTCTCTAGATATTGAAGTGACTATTATTTTGTATATATTGATTGTTGTGCTTTTATTTAGGTCTTAATGTGTGCATACAGTGGGGCAAAAAAGTATTTAGTCAGCCACCAATTGTGCAAGTTCTCCCACTTAAAAAGATGAGGCCTGTAATTTTCATTCTAGGTATACCTCAACTATGAGAGACAAAATGAGAAAAAAAAAAAAATCCAGAAAATCACATTGTCTGATTTTTAAAGAATTTATTTGCAAATTATGGTGGAAAATAAGTATTTGGTCAATAACAAAAGTTCATCTCAATACTTTGTTATATACCCTTTGTTGGCAATGACAGAGGTCAAACGTTTTCTGTACGTCTTCACAAGGTTTTCACACACTGTTGCTGGTATTTTTGGCCCATTCCTCCATGCAGATCTCCTCTAGAGCAGTGATGTTTTGGGGCTGTCGCTGGGCAACACGGACTTTCAACTCCCTCCAAAGATTTTATATGGGGTTGAGATCTGGAGACTGGCTAGGCCACTCCAGGACCTTGAAATGCTTCTTACGAAGCCACTCCTTCGTTGCCCGGGCGGTGTGTTTGGGATCATTGTCATGCTGAAAGACCCAGCCACATTTCATCTTCAATGCCCTTGCTGATGGAAGGAGGTTGTCACTCAAAATCTCACGATACATGGCCCCATTCATTCTTTCCTTTACACGGATCAGTCGTCCTGGTCCCTTTGCAGAAAAACAGCCCCAAAGCATGATGTTTCCACCCCCATGTTTCACAGTAGGTATGGTGTTCTTTGGATGCAACTCAGCATTCTTTCTCCTCCAAACACGTCAAGTTGAGTTTTTACCAAAAAGTTCTATTTTGGTTTCATCTGACCATATGACATTCTCCCAATCCTCTTCTGGATCATCTAAATGCTCTCTAGCAAACTTCAGACGGGCCTGGACATGTACTGGCTTAAGCAGGGGGACACGTCTGGCACTGCAGGATTTGAGTCCCTGGCGGCGTAGTGTGTTACTGATGATAGCCTTTGTTACTTTGGTCCCAGCTCTCTGCAGGTCATTGAATAGGTCCCCCCGTGTGGTTCTGGGATTTTTGCTCACCGTTCTTGTGATCATTTTGACCCCACGGGGTGAGATCTTGCGTGGAGCCCCAGATCGAGGGAGATTATCAGTGGTCTTGTATGTCTTCCATTTTCTAATAATTGCTCCCACAGTTGATTTCTTCACACCAAGCTGCTTACCTATTGCAGATTCAGTCTTCCCAGCCTGGTGCAGGTCTACAATTTTGTTTCTGGTGTCCTTTGACAGCTCTTTGGTCTTGGCCATAGTGGAGTTTGGAGTGTGACTGTTTGAGGTTGTGGACAGGTGTCTTTTATACTGATAACGAGTTCAAACAGGTGCCATTAATACAGTTAACGAGTGGAGGACAGAGGAGGCTCTTAAAGAAGAAGTTACAGGTCTGAGAGAAACAAAAATCTTGTTTGTTTGTAGGTGACCAAATACTTATTTTACCGAGGAGTTTACCAATTAATTCATTAAAAATCCTACAATGTGATTTCCTGGATTCTTTCCCCCCATTCTGTCTCTCATAGTTGAAGTGTACCTAGGATGGAAATTACAGGCCTCTCTCATCTTTTTACATTACATTACATTGCATTTAGCTGACGCTTTTATCCAAAGCGACTTACAATAAGTGTGTTCGTCCAACAAAATACAACTTGAAGAAAACAGAATCATAAAAGTACATCAGGTTTCATAGAGCAAAAACATTTCAAGTGCTACTCAACTGGCTTTAGAAAAGCCAGTCCTTTATTAGTATAAAAGTGCTTCGTTAATAGTTATATCGCTCGAAGTGGAGTCGAAAGAGATGAGTTTTCAGTTTGCGCCGGAAGATGTGCAAGCTATCTGCCGTCCTGATGTCAATGGGGAGCTCATTCCACCATCCTGGAGCCAGGACAGCAAACCCACGTGTTTTCGCTGTTGGGAACTTGGGTCCCCCTCGCAGCGAGGGCGCAGCGAGTCGTTTGGCTGATGCAGAGCGTAGTGCACGCGCTGGGGTGTACGGTTTAACCATGTCCTGGATGTACGAAGGGCCAGATCCATTCGCAGCATGGTAAGCAAGTACCAGTGTCTTGAAGTGGATTCTAGCAGTTACCGGAAGCCAGTGAAGCGAGCGTAGGAGCGGAGTAGTGTTTTTAAGTGGGAGAACTTGCACAATTGGTGGCTGACTAAATACTTTTTTGCCCCACTGTATGTATAAATGTGTATTTTGATTGTGTATATATGGGTATATACATATTTGTATACATATCTTTATACATATTTTTAAATATATGTTTTCGTATTCAGGATTTTGGAAAATGGTATTTCATCATGTGTTTATGTAATTGAATTTAAGACTATTTCTGTATACTTCCTAATTTAGGTACATTCAAGGTGCCCTCATAAACATTCCTCAGCGTTAATCATTTCAAACCAGAAGTGGAACTAGATTTTTCAAGCCTTTGTTGGCTGTACCCAAGTTGTTTCACACAGGCTGTGGTGTCAAGTGGCGTAAGGGTGACTTAGCAAGGTAGTAAAACCAGCTAATATCAGAGTAATGCCTCAAGAGCAAGTGTACCTGGTCCATACTGGGAAAGTACTGGATGAGGAAGCCAAGAAGAATCCCAGCAACCATCCCACCGCCCACTTCTAGCACTCCTCGCAGGATGTTGAACCAAGTGGAGCCTAAAAGGATCAGCAAGAGAAATATGAAATAATAGTATAAACTGAACCAAACTCTGACAGTTTAACGCTCTTTAGTTATGTCCTACATTGTGGTAAACTGCAGATATGAAACTCAAAATGTCACTTGGCGCAAAATATCAAAAGAGTAAACTGCACACTCACACCCTCTGCTGAGCTCCTGACAAACTACAGATAGAATCTTTTTATGTCAGATGCTTCTCAGTGCTGACATACACTTCAGTACACTGAACCCAATGCCCCTCCCCTGGAGATCAGGTGGTTTAGCACTTTCTATAAGAGAACATTGAAGTCAGCATTATTTATCTTCACTCCTCCACATATGAACTCATAAAACAGGTTACCTGTTGCGAAGGCCACGCTCAGACATGTGGTGAACCCTGTGATTGCGAGAATGTCATCAAAACTGCCGGCAGCCATCAGCAGGGTGGGGATGCCCTGCTCCACGCCGTAACCGTCCTTCTGCAGCAGCAGCATGGAGGGAACCACAACTGCTGGAGACACAGCGCCCAAGACAAAGCTGCAAGGTGGAAATCAGAAGATGGATCACTTGAAACAAATAAAGGACAACTTTTGAAAGCATCAGCCTATTAACACACTTTGTAGATATCAAAAGGCAGGCATTCCTGCAGCATGATATGTAGCTTATACTGTAGCTGTGAACTGATATTGGCCAAAATGTAACACATGATTTTGATTATTTGACAATGATCATTTGACTGCATGTAAACATACACTAATTTTCTTAATTTTGACAGGTCCAATCATTAATATTCTGCTAATTGTCTTTGTCCAAAATTCATATTTTTAAGATGACACACTAGCCTCCAAAATGCCCTTTTGTTGGCACTGGCCATAATTTAAGTTAGCTTGTACAAACAAACGTTATAACCCCTATCCTCTGACGTGAAGGCCATCTGAGTAAAAAGCCTGATAATGCATTTCACCTACTTACGAATGCTGACTAAACAAAAAGATGAAAGGCACTTATTTTCCAGGAAAAGATTGGCAAAGAAAAGACATAATCCATGAAATAATCTTGATTTCAATTGTCAATGTGTTTGCCTTTTGCCCAAACCCATTATACATCAGTCAAAAAGTCAGAGGACACAAGGTTAGAAATGTAATGTGATCTAGAGACTCTCAGGGAGCAGTGTGTTTTCTTGTTTTCTGCTTCATGGGAACATGTTCCTTGTCGGGAACACTGTGTTGTACAGTAACAGTCTAACTTATCTTTGTCATCAAAGTTCAGCCTTCCATATCTTGACAGGCGAGACACTTTCACTGTGTTGTAAACTGCTCCTGATGCTCAGTGAGCTGAACAGTCTGCTCAGTAGGTAATGGAAATATGGTTTGAATTACAATTAGTTATCTTATTTCTGTTAAAAAAAACATTTTTAAAAAGAGGACACCAACTAAATCAGTCTGCATTTAAGTTGATTTCAGATTAAATAAAAGCTTTTAATAAAAATGTAATATTTTTTTTGTTCATTTTTAATAGTACCCCGGTCTCTCTTTGTACTGTCTTTATCCTCACTGTTACGGGTCTGCCCTAGACATACTGTAATGAAAATACACAGCTTGTAATTATGTAGAACACTAAGCTGGAGATGGAAGAGAGTGGTCGGTGATGTATTTACCCGAGGATGAAGCCCCAAACCCAGGGCAGGCCCATGAGGAAATGGGAGATCAGCGCTGTGGTGCAAGCCTCTATAATGCAGGGCCCAGCTGCCAGACGTAAACACACCGCTTTCAGTTTCCTCAGAGCCTGTCAACAGACACATAAATCATTCAGTTTGTTATAGTAAATTAATAACCTTTAAGTAGAGATGATGAGAGGATTAACATGTGTAATGATGCTTAAAAGTGCAGAATGATTTGTTGATTAATTGACTGATGCATCTGAAAATGGACAGAAATTAGCTATTTTGCAAAAGCAGAGTTACCACTAAAATACGTTTGTGGTTGTGAGATAGCAGTACTGTTTTTCACCTACACAACTTGCTGTTTTAAAAATAGGTGTCGTTTACACTATATAACTGTTCAACAACAGTGTCACACATTATAAGATATTTCACCAGGAGGAATATGCGATAATACAGGCGGCTTTTCCAGGTCTCCCCTTTACCGTGTCTTCAGCTCACACTGGGAGAGACAGTGAATGAGAACACATGGCCACACATAGCCTATCCACAAGTCTTTACTATTAATAGCACACAACTTTGGTCCATGCTGCAAATGTAACACATAGCACATACAGGTCACCTCTGCAAAGTTTCCCCTCAAGGTCTTGTGCTCTTTATACAGTTAAAACATAGCGTTTGTGCGCCAATTTGCGTCTGATCTGGCACTTTTGTTAGGAAGCGGAAAATCAGGGACAAGGTCGTGAACAGGACAAGGCTAAGATTTGCATGCTTTTCCCATATCAGTGGAAATTGAATATTTTTGGATTGTGCAAAGAGATGGGACCAGTAGTTTATTATCATATGTCTCTAATCATTTCTGTGTGCAGATACTAAGATTCAATACTGAAGTGTGTGGCGTACCATGGGATCCAGACCCAGACCAGCTCTGGCCAGAATGACAGCCAGAGCGATGTTCCTCAGTGATGCAGACCACCTGTAGTCAATGTACACCCCGTCTGTTATAACTGGGATGTTTCTCAGCAAAAAACCCATCAGCAGCATACCTGCAACACAGCAGAGAGCGTGAGAGACGAAAGATGATCATTCAGGATTTACACAGATAGAGAACAAGAATAATAACCACCTGTTGCTTTTTGAACTTACAGCACTCAATATTGGACACCTGAGGCTCTCTGTAATACTGCGATGTGCCTTATATCTCTAATAAAAATGCTACACATACACATATTGAGAAATGTAAAAATGATGCTGCATTTAAGAACATTATGATTACATCTATATAAATGGGGTTTAAAATATAATCAGAGAAAGACCAGTAAATATTTAAAATAGTTAAAGAGTGAGAGAAGACTTTGAACTCATCACAATATTCTAATATTGTTAACAAAAACAGACGCTAAACAGGTATAAAACAATACTCTGTTCATGAAAGACACAGGAAATCAAGTTTAGATAGACAGAACGTGGAGTGTGTTACTATATTGTACTTCAATCTAGCTTTTGATGTTATTGCAAATAAGGAGTGGCTCCAGGTTCCTTGATTTTTATCTTGATTGGGGCGCAGCAGATGGCATGGTCAGGTAAAAAGTTCTTACATTTTTTTTAAACTAACAGGACCCTTATCATGTAAACTACCAATTCAACGAATATAAGCAAAACACAATACCAGCCAAATACTAAAGTGGCTAATGTAAACCTGACCTTTAACGGAACAAGTGAGTAACATGGTTGTAGAGTTAATCAGGAACTCCCTTTTGACCTTATGTGTTTTTTTTATTTGTTTCTCTTTTTGAATCAATGACAAAGGTGGAATGACTCAGTCAGTAGATTGATTTGTCACCAAATGTTGCAATACGTAGTAAATGAAGCTGCAGTACAGGCACATAATCTGACCGGCACATAAAGCATAACCACTAAATTACCAAGGAGAGGTGGAAATGGCGGAAGTTTGGGCAGACGGATGAGAGCCACCACTTTGCCACCAATGACTGCGCAGATGAAGAGGATTGTGATTCCGAACAGGTTTCCCCCTGGAAGACACTCATCCTCGGTGATAGACCATACCACTCCAAAGAGCACACCTGCCAGAAGGACTGCAGGAAAAACAGGAGACAGATGTCAGATTATTATTGGGTCATGTCATGTGTCCCTGTCTGTATCCATGTGTTTTTTATAATGTGAACTTAAAATAAAGCGAGTGTGTGTTAATATACATGTTTTCATCTACCACATTGCTGACATTTAATAGTTCCAAATGTAAAAGAAAGTCTGCAATTGTTCAGTCCTATTTAAAAGTACAAAGTGACAAACAATTCATTTTCAGGTCACTGAGACAAGTAGAAACCATGCTTACCTTTAGTAACAAGAGAGGCCAGGAGTCCTCTTGGGGGACATGGACAAAATCTAGCGAGCAAGGGGCAGCAGACCACGGGCGGGTCTGTGTTTGTGGCAGCATCCACTGCAGGGTTTCGTGGGATAAAAAAGGTGGTCTCCTCCGTGACATTTGGACTAGAACAGCGTCGTACCACCACTTGGATCTGGTTCACATTTAGGTGCTGTAAAAGAAAGGTCAGAATACTTGTTCTTTTGCCTGGTGGACATTGTGTTCGTTAGTTGCCTTAACTCCCACATAATATAAAGGCTGTCCATGTAAAATGAAGCTTTAAAAACGCAATTTCAGTTAAAGAGTTTCCTTGTGACACATTGACAAATATTTTATTATATTTTTGATGAAAGGTTTGAAAATGTGTTGCGTATGTACCCAAAGCCTCTTTACTTTCTGAACACGTATTAGGTTAATATCTTGTTCCTTATTGCTATTGTTGATATAGTGGTACGTCATGCCATTAGACAATAGATTATTGTTTCTTGGCAAATAATAGAGAGATATGAACATGTTGATAACTGCACCTCCCTGAACACCTTCCTAGTTATATTGCCCAGGTGGGTACATTAGCTCAAAGATTTGCCTTTGCCATTGGCTGTATTTAGGTTAATTATAATATTCAAATTACAGCAACAAATTATGAACAAATTATCTCTTACAGAATAATGAATTTTACAAGGTTAGAGGGCAGTGTTTTTAAACATAGAATAAGTCAAACAACAACCTCGATTGACTACTGTGAGTGACAAAAAAGCAAAGCCAAATGGCAGCAACCACATCATTTATATGTAGCTTTAAATTATTTGGTGTGTTAATAAAAGCAAATAGCTGTTTAATTTACCCATAAAAATACAATACATAATATTAGTTTATAAAACACCCTTTTCAGTTTTGTCAAGGCCGTAAAAACAGATAACATTGTCAGAGATTGTAATGATTAAATTACTATACCTCCACATTGTTTGTTGCAGGCAAAGGAATTAAGTCCAGTAGTGGGCCGGTTGTTGGCAGGGATACTGGCGTTGGTGTTGGACTACGGGCTGGACTACGGGCTGGACTACGGGCTGGACTTGGTGCTGGACTCGGGGCCCGGGTGGGTTCCGGAGTAGCAGGTTTGGGCTGAGTGTCCTCCATGGCAATAGGCTACAGTATTTCTGGTCCACTCACTTCTTACTCACAGTACATCAACTGTAGGGGTGGGGTTGCCCATTGATGGGCGGTTCCTTCACTTCTGCTTCTGTATGTCAAGCTCTGACTGCAGGCTCCTATTCATACAACACAGCTTTATCAGTAGAGAAACAAATTATTGTTTACTTAATAAACAATAGTGAACAGTGGAGTTAGTACAGGTGTAAGATTGGATTAATGATTATGATAAATGTAATATCACACATGACAGGATTGTTGTGTCAAACATACAGGCTTAACAGAGAATATGTAAATGTTTTATTAATTTAATATTGTACTGTAAGAGGTCTCTATGGGGAAAGAAAACTAACGAGGCTTTAAGCCTCATGATCCATGTCTAAATGAGGATCTATGAGGCTAATGTGTACTGTGTTTACTTTGGTAAACGCACTGTTAGTGATGACTTGTAACTCATTACAATGAACATACTAAACAATGTGCTCCATGTTTAATAGCTTGAGTCCACGCTATGTTATGCACAAAGGTTTACAGGTAATGTAATTTAGACTAACGCTACTACAATGTTGTGACAGTTGCTGATGGCAACAGACGTTAGTTAATCCACTGCGATCAGACCACACTAATCGATGCTTACAGCTCGACCATATGGCACATCTAGCTAGCGGATGCTAGAGCAACTAGATTAGAGTTAACTACATTGTGAACAACATATCTTTCAGACTGGCATTGGTAGCCATTTAGCTAGCAAGCAAAGCAAGTGTTTAAAGGTGTGTTTGTCCTGCTGAAGCGGTACCATAGTTGAAGCTAATAGAGGGGTAAATCCACGCCCACCATAAATAATGCTAATGTACCCATTATCGGACATGTATGTTAACTCAGAGGCAGCTAACTAAGCGTACAATATATGGTACAACAGTAATACACGAGCACCTGTTTAGTTATTATGTAATGGATCTGTGGGGCATCGATCAGTTCGCCATGCCCACCGTTGCTTTGCTAGCGCTATATGTTGTGTTTAGAACGTTGCTTTCGCCCACCAGCGCTCTGCTCTGGGTCACCGATTACTCCTACTCTTATTTTATAGATTAGTACAAGAGGTAAATTAGCACTGTCATTTCACTTACAGCCGTGTTACAGAGCAACGTAAGGTACGATATAGTTTGGAAATGTTCACTATACAGTAATGGCTTCAGGCTGAATTAGCCTAGTTAACGTTAGTAAGGGGTAAACTCTCCATAACGCGACGCTTAACGCGGCCGCCACGGACTCGTTAACCCGGTTGACGCAACGTTACAAATACTTTCTTCTCAGGTACAAATCGGTTCAATCATCAATTTCGGAGAGCGAGGTCTTGTCCGATATTGGATGCTTTGCCAGTAGCAGGTTGCGTGCTTCCGACCAACAAGCTGTCAGTGAACTCTCCACACCATATCAATATGCACGGTAGCTAACTAGAGACCTCGATCGTGACCCCTCAAACGGGATTACAAAAAGAAATTAAACGCTATTAAAGAAAACAAAAGCTCACCTTATATCATAAACATGACCGCGTGTGAACTTTCAGTGTGCAGGGTTTCTGGCAGTCATGAGGCACATAGAGCAGCTGGGCATTGGGAATGAGGCGGATTAGTGATGGCAAAGCATGTCCGCGCACAGGATTGCATGGGGGAAGTAGGGTCAAACAGAAAACACACTCAATAGTATTGGTGAAGACTTTTAATAGATGTTTGAACCTATTTCATTATTATTCAAATTAAACTTTTAACGATTGGTTTGTCAAATACTTCACAATTAATGCATTTGTAATAAGGTGATTATTACACCATTACACTTTAGCTGTGATAAAACCAATTTATTACAATGTCAATCAACATCACTATGTTGGCATTGCACACATTTGCAGCATATAACATTTGATTTGGAAAATAGGGCATGTCACAGAAAAAGTCAACAATAAGCAAAATCATATAATCAATCAATCAATCAATCAATGTTTATTTATATAGCCCAATATCACAAATGTTACATTTGTCTCTGTGGACTTTACAGTTTGTACAAAATATCAGTATGACAATATGACACCCTCTGTCCTTAGACCCTAATGATATAAATGATTTAACTCAGATTTAGTGCGTTTTATTTGGGCTTCAACTAAGAATATTAAGTCTCCACTACTGTCACAACGTGCTTGCAACAGTTTGCTTAGAGTCTCCATCCTCCATCGATGATTTGCTCCGTTCCAGTCACATAGGTAGACTGTGAAAAAGTGGAGATACATCATATCATTTGTACATGATTTCACTGCTAACCAATAAACAAACATGTGTATTTGCATGTATAACTAAGTAATATTAAAAGTGGTGGCCATAAATCCAAGTATTCCCTCCTTCTCAATTACCTTTTTTTTTTTTAAAACGGAAACCAAAAACAAATCTGCAACGTTTTTTGATTTAAAAAAAAATCCCACCAAAAGGATCTTTGAGTCTAAAGACATGCTGACTTTTTTTTTTTAATGTTAACTCCAACTAAGTTTAAATCCTCTCAAATGTCTAGAATACAAACAAAGTAATTGGACCTCCGTGTAGTTACGGCTCTGCAAACTTTGCCTGAATGTTGATGTATTGTACCTGGACCACATATGTATGCAAGCACTCACTCACCTCATCTGAGGCCAGGTATACACACAGGTGAGCCACCTCTTCAGCTGTGCACATTCTGCCAGTTTTCTGTCTTGCCATGAAATCCTTATAAGCCTGCAGAGTTACAGAGAGAGAGAGAGAGAGGACTTAAAGTTGTATAATTTGCTCCAATACCCAGGATTGTTTCTTGTCGAAAACAATAGATACCTGTTCTGGGTCAGGTTGGGCCTCGATCCTACCCCTCAATGATGGAGTATCAACAGTTCCTGAAAAAAAAAGAAGAAGTCATGATTGGGTTCAATTTAGGTCTACTACACAAATGAGTTTGCACAGCATTTATTGAGACTGGCTTTGAAGGAACAAACTCAAGGTGTGTATATATTTGAAATTCAGAATGTCCTCAAACATGATAATAACAATGATAATAAAACATTTTTTTTTTTAAATTTTCAAGTATATCTATGGTTAAATGTTATCGAGTGACCTCGAGCAATACTAGAGTAATCAAAGGACACATGGTTTTATTGTGAAGGGTGTTTTAAACTTACCAGGACAAACACAGTTACAGCGAATGCCTTGCTCAATAAAATCAGCCGCTATAGATTTGGTGAACCCAATCACTGCAGCCTTGGAGGTACTATAGGCACACCGGTTCACAACACCTGAGTGAAGGAAACACACGTCACTCAGACGCAGAGCAGCAATCTGAGCTAAGAGGATTACAATGAACTTGGTCATACTTCAATGACTTAATGTCCCTTTAGTCGGGCAGGACACATCTACAATCATCTACGGAAGCTTTTTCTTTTTACCTTTAATGCTCGATGCAACAGATGCCATGTTAATAATGTTTCCTGACTTCTTTGCCAACATCTAGAATGACAAAATACATTTGAAAGTTGTCATGTACACATGAAAAAATGTGTTAAATTAAGGCGTTATGCAGCATTCTTTAAGAGATTTGTGCTTTGATCCAAGCTAAAATGTTGCTTTGAAGCAGTTTGGTTAGTTTGAGACTTAATCTAGATTAGTGATAGGACAGTCACCACCCATCATGTCACAGGCTCAGAGTAATACAGCTAATCCAAGCGGACAAAGGATGAGAACAATATGAAAGCATATGTCACTCAATTTACAACAGCATCTATTTCCTTGTCCTAACAACAGGATGAACAGCGATTAGTATTTAGCAAAGTAAACAGGTCACCTTAGGTAGGAAGGCCTTGCTCATGAGGAACATGCTCCGGATGTTCACGTTCATTGTGAAGTCCCAGTCGGCCTCTTCGCAGTCCAAGACGGAGCCATGGTGCACAAACCTGTTTGAAGTAGATGACATGTTAACTCTGATTACAAAGGATGGTATTACATGTAACATATATACATATGGCTCTTACTATGAGGTAAAAAATCTCAAATGTCAATCAGAAAAAAAACAGAAGATTGAAGAAATAAGTATAATATTTCGCCACCTAAACAGATTCTTCCCCCCCGCTACCAGCCCCCACTGACACTTTACCTGAGCCACATCATGGACTCTATGCATTACATTAATGCACACAATGTACAACATTATTTTTGTATTACAGCTGATTTTATTCCATATGTTATTCCTCTATTTCATTCCATTGTTATATTTTACTATATATTTTTAATTATGTTTTATATTTTTCTAGTTCTCTACCTGTGTTTTTAATTATTGTTTTTATGCACCACGACACCAAGTCAAATATGTGTAAACCTACCTGGTAATAAACCTGTTTCTGATTCTAATTCTGATAATAAATACAAAAGTAAACTGCAAATAAATGCTTGTTAAAATGCTGCGTTCTCCCCCATAACATTTTACCTTGACTTGTGTCGATTTAGAGACCTTTGTTAAGGAGATTGACTAAAGGTCAAGATAAGGTTAAACCTTAAGGTATAGGGATTTGGGAAACGTTGTTAATCATGGGACGGATACACGTGCTGAATGTCAAGACAGCAACACAAGTGGAACAGTTAGGCACAGTTTATGTATGTCAAGGAATATGACTGTCAAGATTCCGCGTATTTGTTATGTAAAATATTCTAACAGGGGTATGTAGTGCATCTTGTAGGGACTATTTACAGCAGTGTATTTAGTCTGCTAACGAATATGTATGGCATCACGATTTCACAATGTTTGATCAACTCAAAATAAGCTACACTGCCCATACTAAAAGGTAATGTATGAACATTTAACCCAGCGAGGCTTACTTGTAATGAGATTTTCAGACAATAAAAATTGAATATCATCAGACTTAATGCCCAAAAGAAAGTTAATGAGTATTACTCTGGTAATTCAGAACAACACACAGGAAAAAAAACATACCCAGCGACATTGAGCAGCACATCCACATGATCATGTTCCTTGGCCAGGGCTTCGACTTGGTCCTTCTTAGTTACATCCACAACCTTGGTCTTAATCCCTGTTGGTGAAGAGGAAAAAAGTGCATTTGTTGTGGAGAACAGAGCAATTATTTGTAATGCTTGCTTTGATTCAGCTCACATGAAAAAACGAATTGTCTTTATGATGTCTCTAGTCATTCACATTTTATTGGAGGAGATGCTAGTTTAAAATCAGGCCGCCAGTCTCCTAAAATAAACAAGTGAACAACATAGACAAAAGCATCCTCTTTTTCTGAGGCTTCACAATCTGCACAATAACACACATTTACAACCGATTGCTATTCTGAAGAGCTTATTTTCATGCTGGCCAGTTAACAGAAATATGAAGGCTCCCTCACACAATTTATTTACAGGTGATGTGTATTATTATCACGCGAGTCAACAGCGTTAGGGGATGCTTTGGTTGAGAGCGATCTGCAAGGAGGTGTTAAGAGGGGAAAGAGTGTTAATAGGCGCTTTCACACTGCGGTACTTTTCCCACAAAGGTTCATGTGAACTTAGTTCATGTGAACTCTTTTATCGCGTTCACACCAAAAAGAGCCGGTACTAAAATTAGTTCATGTGAACCTTTTTACCCCCTCGAAAGTCCCTGCTAGAGAGCAGGGACTTTCGAGCGGCTCTTTTGTGAGAAAAGAGCTATATTTCTGATTGGCTGGAAGGATTGCAAACCACGCCCCGCAAAACTCCCAAAAAGTTTTGTGAAGCCGCCATTTTATTATCCTCGCATTAGCATTATTAGCATTAGCCCAGCGTAGAAACGCAGAGAGACTAACTTATGGCAACACAAAATAAAACATGGGAGCGGTGGAGATGAGGAGGTGTCGGCGTTCTGGCGATTTACTCAGAAGGCTTCAGTAGAAGCTGCTGGGACTCCCAGCAGCTTCTACTGAAGCCAGTCCCTAACTCCGGGGACTTCCGGCCGGGGACTCCGGGTGGCAGTATACGCCGTTTAGTGGTTTGCGGCCTGCCAGTAAACCCAAAGCAGAAGAAGAACAAGTGACGTCAGCGGCTTCATTTGCCTAATTCACCCCCAGGGACTTTTTACAGTGTGAACGCGATCTGTACTTAGTTCATGCGAACTAAAGAGTTCACATGAACTAAGTTCACATGAACCTTTGTGGGAAAAGTACCGCAGTGTGAAAGCGCCTAATGATTCAGACACCGGCCACACGAGGACGAAAACGGCTTAACGCATAGGATTAACGCAAACAAGCTTCCGTCCACACGCAATAGTTATCTGGATAGTGTCTGCCCACACGAGACCGCTCCGTTTAGCTCCAACCGCTGGAGAAGCTGCAGTACATATGCAGGAGCCTGTACGTGGCGCTGTAACATCCTCCACAAAAGCAGAGAAGAAGCATGGTTGTCATGGTTGCCCTTCTGTTTATTCTCCGCGGTGGGGGACGAGGGAACCGGGCAGTTTGTTGCCAGTCAATGTGTATTAAAGTTGAAATCTTCCGACAAAATTATAAAAGTGCCGGTCAAAGGTCTTCTTTGTTATTTATTGAGCTTTAAAACAAATGAATAACGACTCTATATAATATAATAATAAAATACACGGAGCCTCTCTTTTTCCACCCTCTCTTCGGACAGCGCCAGTTTCATGCAGCAGCTGATCCAGTAATGAGTGACCCGGCCGACAGTAAAAATAAACATATTTATAACTAGGTAGTTTGAGAGGTGTCTCCGTCCTGTCAGATTAGACTTCACTCGCGTTTATGTCCATATAGAGAGAAAGATAAATAATCTGAATTCAGTGTGCAGTTTACTTTGACACGGGGGTGAGCAGCAGAGGTGGAGAGAGGCGGGGCTATTGCGCAATCATTATCAGAAAATGATCGCTGAAGCTGCAGTACATATCCACAAAAGCAGCGAGTAAGATCCCCCCCGGATGTGTAAGTCTGCTGTAGATGTTGCACAAAGAACTGTAGCATGGTCAGTAGCGTCCGGAGCACGATAGCAACTCTGCGATCCGCCATTGTTGTTGTTGTTGGTGGCGAAACACATCAGCAATGGCGCGGGGTACGCGGAGGTGAGCAGCAGAGGTGGGGAGAGGCGGGGCTATTGCGCAATCATTATCAGAAAATGATCGTATAGGGCGTACACACGGAGCTGTTTGCATTGCGTATGCCGTTCTATCCACCTTAGGACCCGTTATCGTTTCCTCAGTCGTTTAGTGCCGTATGCGGTCGTCCTCGTGTGGCCGAATGGTCTATATGACACTAAACAGTAACGCAAACGGCCGTTTTTGTCCTCGTGTGGCTGCAGCCTCAATCCTGATCCAGCTGATGCAATTTTCAGCAATAACTACTGATATGATGCAGGTAGAATGGGTTGGTAGTGATCACTCTATTGTTCTGTTCACTGACTATGTGAGATGTGGAGACCAGTGAGCAGTAATTCACTCGCACAGTATAACTTATCTTAAAGCAAATGCAGCATATTAAAGTCTTTGCTTGCACAAATTATTCTTGTATCATTTTTAGTGATGCAGTCATAGTAATACTTATATTTGGTGATTTTCTTAGCATTTTATAGTAGTAAACTGAGTATCTTTGTCAAAACAAGACATCTGATGCAGCACCCCTGGCTCAGGTTAGCTGTAATAGGAAAGTCTCACTAATGTTAGACCAACTAAATGTTCAATAAATAGAGAAAATAACAGCATTATTAATACAAAAACACGATCGCAGACCTTTAAGAAGATTTTAAAAACAGGACTTGAAATGTTGATTGCATTAAAACTATGGGCATGTATCAAATGCATCTTCTTAAAGGCTCAAAGGTACAGAGGTGAATGTTGTGACAGAATTTGAGAAAAAAGGAAAAACATGCCTCAGTCATCCTGGCTTTATTGCACTGGCTGCCCAGCAGATGGCGGCCTAAGACCAAGGGAAATTAATCTTACCTGGAATGCTGTCCAGCTCTTTCAGCTTCTCTCCATTGATGTCTGTCGCTGTGACTTGAGCTCCCTCCTTTGCAAATGCCTACACAGATGAAAAACACGAGTCAGAGCCGAGCAAATTCACAATGTGTGGATATGTTATGCTATAAAACCTCCAGTTCAGTAGGACTTTGTAGAAGGAAAACAAATCATTTGGTATGATCCTGCAACTTTAACAAATATGTTGTATGGCTATTGCCGTTTGGTTCAATAAGCTTAGATAATGAAAAACCTTAAGACTGGGACCAGTGAGGCAGGTATGATTTTCTATTTCTTATTAAAGCTGAATTTTCACCTGAATGCACATACTTACTTCCTCTAGAGGCAATACTTCAGGTCACAGTGCTGACACCAAGATCTCATTATCACATATGATAGCATTTCTAACCTTAACCCTTAAACATAATTTGAATCCATTCAATTTCCGGTCACTTGATAGCTGATGGAGTTATTGCACTGTTAACCACAGAGCAGACCCCATCAGTAAAACACACCTCTAAAAGTGTAAATGAAAAAAGCTGACTAGCCCCTCAAATATACTATATACTGTGTGATTTGAACCTGATGATATTAGACATAAATAGTCCTATCCTTTTTTTGTATTATTGGCCACTGAACAAAACACAAATTGCTGTTTTTCAAGGCACAGGTGTAAAGACAACACTTTAAGCTGATGGCTGTGATGATGACCCAATCTGGATAAGGATATGTGTGTTCGATTTTAGTGTCATGCTATCTCTTGAGCAAGACTATCACCACACCAATCGTCCATAAGGGTTACCCTAACCTGTGTCTCAGGAGCCACTATTAGAGCACACTTATTTGAAGTATACAATTGTTGACTGATAGCATATTTCAACCATTGCCCACAGAAGGTCTATAATATTCATGCAAGCTGAAAAAGGTAGTTTCTATAAATATATTGATTGAATGAATATATCATTTTGTTGTATTGTACTACTGCAATCTACCCGCTACCACACTTCATTCTACAATGTTACACTAATTTGATTTTATAAATACTGCTTGCTCACCTATTTCCCCTGAATGTGAACTTCTGTCAATTGTAATATATATATTTATTTATTTTTTGTTTTATTTTAAATATTATGTGCATGCCTTTTTACTTGTGTGTTATTTGAATTTTTCGTCTCAATCTACAGTATACTTTGCTGTAACAATGTAAATGTCCCCTCTGTAGGACGAATAAAGGAATTCTGATTGATTACATTATTACTATAACAGCTTTTATATTTATTTATGGGACTCAGCTTGTTCTCCTGAGCAGTAAAAACAAACAGGAAAACTAGAACTTAAGCAGGCAAATAACCACATGCAGTGTGTATTTCTGTAACACAGTCATTTGGAAGATAAAATCTTTATGATCACTGTTATTAGTGCAGTGCTTCACTTATGTACCCTTCCAAATGGCTTTTAGAGAAGATATATAACATTTGGCAGGATGTCAGTACCATTAAAATATTAAATTTGCATTACACAAACACTGGTTTGAATATGTAATTATGCAAAATACACAATGCTTTGACACCACATGATAGGCACTAAAACATTTTCCTGTGTGATATGGTTGGACACGTATAAGTTGGAAGTTCTCATTAAAGCTCATTACTATTGCTGCAGCACGTCCAATCCCCTGCGCAGCAGCCGACAACACAATTACTTTCCCGTCGAGGCGTCCCATAGTGCACCTTTCACTGCTGCTGTGATCTAAACACACAAACAGAAAACAGAGTATTGTACAAAAACAACGGGTTCATTTTGATATCAATTGATCTCTTCTCATTATATATATGTTTCCTTTTTTGCAATCAATAATTATTAACAAATGTGTTCGTTCACAGAAGATTAGTTTACCAGGCAGTATATAACCTACAGTATAGCAGCAATTGTGTGTGGTGCAGTATCAGATTGATATTAACAGGCCTTATTAGGAAATGCATCATTTTATGTTATATCCTTGTTAGAATATCTATAATATTAAGCCATGTTAAACCTTACAGAATACAGAGCTAACCTCTTGCAAATAGGCACTTGTAAAATAAGTGCTCCCTTATTCTATTGTTTGAATTGTTGCATGCAACTTTTGCCTCTCAACACTCACTTTGTTACAATGGAAACAACAATTCACACATATTAATGAGAGTATGTAAGTATTACCTAAAGAGAAAACTACATTAAGATTCTAAAATAAAGTTACAAAAGTTGTTCATTTTCATCAGGGCCATCTCCACCCAACAGTGGCAACTGTGTGGAAAGCAGTTGGAGAGCAGTTTCCTGACACAGTTTGCTCTCGTCAGCCCTCACCATGGCCCTCACCAGTGGTCTTAGGAAAGAGACAGCTGGCTGTTACATCAAGTTAGTGAGAGATTCTCCCCTTTCTTTACCTTTTTCCCTTTAACAGGCAAAAGACTAGGGCTTACAACATCAGTGCAAAGTAAAGTAAAAATAACTTCTCAGTGCCACTTGCTGTTTCTCTCAACACATTATTCTCAATGTGTATGCCTGGCATTGAGATTGCAATCTTACACACAGTAGTGGTTTGACATGCTTTGTCATTTTATTTAGTTCCTCTGCAGAGTTCTTTTGAATAAAAATGCACGCTGTATTATTTGTATTATATGGTTTCATTCAAGTGCAGACACATACTGTGTGCTCATGTGCAGCCAAGAGCAGCTAAGGCAATGCACCTGTCAGATTTTACCCGCTTTGTCAACAATGTGGCTTTTAAAAGTTGAATCAGTAAGTACAGACCATAGACTGTATATATAAAAGGTACAGACCGGACCCTTGACTTTTGTTGCTTTAAAATCATGTGTAGGCCTATGAATAATGTACAAATGTACACAGGCCAGTTTGAGTAATATGTATTTGTGTTAAGGTTGATGCGGTCTTTAATGCTAGATATATAAATGGCAGCTTAAATGTAGTATAGCCTGAGGGTATACTATAACTATGTACACAAGCCTATCAAAAATATTATCAGAAATGTCAACATTACTTTTTAGGATTTTTAAACACGGATGTAGTTGTTGTACATCTCCAAGGTCGTTTAAAAAAAATAGAACAGGACATTTCACACTGCAGGCATCATCCAATTTTTTGTTGAAAACAACATCATTTTAGAAAGAAATGGCACCAATTAAAGTGTGCCGAATAAGCAGTTGATGTTTGAATGGTACGGGGGTGTACCCTTACCCTATGGGGTGTACAAACAAATATCACGTGATCACTCAAGCTTATGTTCAAGGAGCGTCTTTTTATGGAGCAGCCTCCAACTTCTGGAAGCCATTGCTGTTACCATAAAGTTAAGAATAAGGCCGCACTATGGTAGTGCTGTGTTACAAATGTTTGCTGGCTTGGTATTATTTTGTAATATGCACAGCTATGTTCCGGTGTAAAGTGGTGCAAAGACATGTATCTTGTTTTACTGTTGCACAGAATATAAATCGACTAGGCAACTAAGGCAAGTATATTTCCTCACCCCGAACACCTAACTGTAAGTGCACGGTGAACTCTCCAAACACACATGTATTTACTGCTGCATGGAAACAGGCAGGTTGTAGCTTAACACATTGTGAAGAGTTCCACTGTTGAATTTGTACATGTAATGTTCATAGGTTGCACATGATGATTCAAGTTAAACAAGACTAGAAAACGGATCAAACTCACCCAGTGTTCAGGTCCGACACATTGAATAACAAAGTTCAAAAGTAGCACCGCGTGACACCTTCTGCATGTAATGCTATTGGTTCTAAACCCGGAAGTGTTTTGTCGTTTGAGAAGATGAAAATTAAAGCAAGAGAGTGCAGTGCCTTCTTTACCTAGTTAGCAGACGCATGTTTAGTCAAATACATTTATATTCTTTAACATACATTTATTTACATTTATTTAACTGTGTGTGACCATTTAGGGAAACATTTTAATATGTGTAAGAAGCTATTTGTAGAGGCTCCTGTTTGATGCATGCGTAGGCTACGCTACTAATATATGGGATTAGTTTTGTATCATAAAGATAAAGCAACACTTTCTCAGAATAAAGCAAAACTATGAGTTTAAAAGAAAAAAAATCTGAGTCAAGCAAAATAAAATAAATTTCAAAAATAAAACTATAAATTGCAAACAAATCATTTTTGTAATCATGTGAACTATAAGTCTTTTTTCTTTGTTTTAACATAGGTTTTTGTTTGCAGAACTGTTTCTTCTTTCTCAATGATCAGACTTTTGCTCTCGCTGCAGCTTTCTCTTTTGCGCTCCCTCATTTTTTGTTTGAGATTTTGACACAAACCTCCCAGGTGGGCGGGACTTTCAGGGGTGCGTTCATTGGCTACTCAGTTTTTGAGTGACAGCCCAGTCCTCCAGCGATTGTACAGTGCAGGCATCTGCGGCGCGGTAGCTGCCTGCGCGTGGACAGAAGACCCCAGAAGAACCAGCATTTCAATTATTATAATACTACAAGTGAACATATATGTAAGTATTGATCATTTGTGCTATACGGTCTGTTTCTTTATTGTGATAAGTGAGAAGTAAAGCTGTGCTATGAAAGTTAGCTTGTGCTACCTTTAGATCCATAACAATGCAAGCTAAGTAGCCTAACAGTTAGCTACATAGCTAGCAGTGAGTGAGCGTTCAGACACCGGCGCACACACTCAAACGGACTCGTGTGCCTGACTCTACCAACAGGTTTTCATGATTCTGTTTAGATATGCAAGTATAAGCCATGATAGCTTATTTTATTAACACGCTAATTTGATATGAAAATCAATGGAGGCTGAGTTAACTTTGTAGGAAAACCTACCGTCCATGAGCTGTGTTTTATTTGTTAACTTCATATTTTTCATTTCCTAAAACATTTATTTTCCTCTCATATTAACAGTGTGGATTATTGAGACAGCGTGGCGTCCAGAGTCTTATCCCGTTTTCCCACTTCCTCTGAAGGGACAGCACGGAGGGGGGGCATGAAGAAAGACCTGCACCAGCTTCATCCACGCTGGCGTTGCTGTTATCACTGGCTCAGTGTCATTTCATTTGACCAAATGGCTTTACATATACATTTAATAGATTTTATTATTATCCACCTTTTTGTTGTATGTCCTTTTATTTAAAACATTCTTTGAGACTTCATCTTCTGGTTCAAATTTCAATAAATGTAATTTGTATAATCACTCTTTTGTCTTTATTCTACATGAAAATATTAGAGATTCCATTCAAATCTGTTGATTATTCAGATCTTCCTCAGGCTAGGAATAGTATGTCGAATTTTTAATGCTAAACGTATATCATTTTCTCACAGGATATAGAATGAGACAACACAGTTTGTATCCATTGTGTATGAATGCTTCAGCTCTTCAGACCAACATAGTAAGATGTGAGCATGTTCCTAATTGTGTTGGTATGCAGCCTAGGTCTGGTCTGTTTAATAAAGTAAATCTGCCACTTTTATATTGCAGAATTTGTTCAATTAAAGCAGTCTTTAATTGTTTGTCCTAAACATAGCAATATATGCTTTTGAAATGTAACATGTCTTGAAAAATAATAGTATACAGTTTATATTGTGTATCACCTTTAGCTTAAAAATACATAGATGTGTTTTTTTAATCTATAAAATAAATAGACAGACACTTTATCAATCCCACATTGGGAAATTATTTAACAGCAGCAGTGTGTTCAGGTATTAAAATATTTAAAGTTGGAATAAAGTATGAACTACACATCACAAGTATAATGCACTGCAATCCATAAAATAAGTCGGATATGTTCATGAAAACCCCCCAGGAGACACCAACACTAACGTGGCCGAGTGGACTCCGCAGTTTGCTGCATGAGTTGCACTGTATGATCTGTGGTGTAGTGGGCTGTCACTCAAAAACTGAGTAGCCAATGAGGACGCACCCCTGAAAGTCCCGCCCACCTGGGATGTTTGTGTCAAAATCTCAAACAAAAAATGAGGGAGCGCAAACGAGAAGAGCTGCAGCGAGAGCAAAAGTCTGATCATTAAGAAAGAAGAAACAAGAACTGCAAACAAAACCTATGTTAAAACAAAGAAAAAAGACTTATAGTTTACATGATTACACAAATGATTTGTTTGCAACTTATAGTTTTATTTTTGAAATGTATTTTATTTTGCTTGACTTAGTTTTTTTTTCTTTTAAACTCATAGTTTTGCTTTATTCTGAGAAAGTGTTGCTTTATCTTTATGATACAAAACTAATCCCATACATTACACATGTATACCTAGGGTGCAAAAAGCTATTCAAAATAAGCAGGAGTTGACCTCTTGCAAGTGTGAATTGTCATGATAATGAGATCAACTTAAAAAACCTTGAAAATTGACCTTTGAGATCTGTTCAACGTCCTTTTATTACCCCTAAGGGTTAATGGTTTGTGGAAAGAATATTATAGTTGAGGTTAATAGTCAACTGAAAATGACCCTTCCTGTCCACCAAGTCAAACAATGATCAGCCAATTGTAGTTTCAGTAACTGTACAATTGTTCAGTGCATGTCTGACATTTGAGGATGGCAGTTTAATGTTAACCTTGTAACTGGACCTCCAGTCTGTACATTTGACATTTTAGTTGTTGTGGGAGTTTCAGTCATCTCACATGATGGACATACAGTGTTTACCCAGATGGTAAATGATACATTTTCCAATTCCTTCAAGTGATCAGAAGAAACTATTTAATTTCATCTGCTGCTGAACATGTTTTCAGAACTATGATTCAATGGATATTAGGATAAGACTGTTTTGATAACTGCTTTTCCCAAAGTCAAGAGTAACTTTGAAACTCTATTTTCCACTCTACCCTCAATGGGGCCCCATTATTTATCAGTAAGCCTTCTATTCTTTTTTAAATCTTTTTAATTTCTACTGTTGTCCTTCAAGTATGATCTGTGGTCAGTATTACATGTTTAATGGCTCTTAATGCAACACAGTTTGCATTTTTTTTTTCTTGTACATATCTTTTTTTCAGTGTTAATTCCACCCTATTAATTTAGTTATTTTCATTGGCTTCCATCACAATTAAAGTGCAATTTTCATTAATCAGATAGAAGAAGAAAATGTTTACACATCACAATCTCTCATCACATAAATGAAATCACTCGACATGGTGCAGCTGCATGCAAAGGTAATAATTGCACCTTATCTTTCCAGGCCACAATGACACTGCAAAAGCTTTTGAAACAGACCGCTCCTTCAAATGTCACTTGCAGTTTCTGGTTGATGATAACACTTTTTAAGCAGTGTGAAATTGTGACTGAAATACGGGAGCTGTTGAAAGACAGCTGGGGTCTGTTGAATGCTAAAATATGGATTAACAATTTTCTACTTGCCAAAGACTTGTCCAGCCTGGCAGCTGTTCTTGAATGAGGCCAGGGGGCAGTGAGGACACTATGATTTTCTTCATCACCACAGTTAAGTGGACGAGGAGCCAGTCTGTCACACACCCAGGTTACACTTCAATCAGTGGACAATAACACGCAGAGACAGAGTAATTACATTGTCTCTGCAACTGGTCGCATGTTGATGTGGAACATTATAGTTTCTGTTTCTTAATCTCAGGTTCATCTAATGCACAATGTGCATGTGTTTCATCACAGTAAATGCTTTGTGTCGTGGGTGTATAAGAGATGTGTGATTTTATCAACAGTGTTTATTAAACTATTTTATTCTCTGTAGATTCTCTCTGTTTTTTCAAACAAAGAAATAAAGTTTTCTTGAGGGTTTTTATTACTTCTCTTTCTGGTTAGTTTGTGCTAGCTTTATAAATGGCAGGCATAGTTTTCACATTCAAAGCACTGTCATACCTGCGATGCACATTGTTTTGGAGTCAAAGCCTTTCTGCTTTCTGTGGAGTTATCCAGCATGGTATTCCAGGCTTTTCGAAATCTCATGAATTTCAAGACAACATTATACAGCCTGGCATTATATGTCTACTACCTAGTTATAAAGGCCGCCCACTGAACCAATGAAGTTTACCCACCATTATCCATTGTGCAGATAACAAATGATAATGCCCATTTAATGGGGTGTTACAATTCAAAGCAGGTTTGCTATCTGACAGTTGAGTTTCAATAGTTATTGTTTTTTTTGTTTATATTAATTAATTTATGATGAATTCCGTTGTTTTTTTCCTTTATGTTTTTTACTCCACTGGTTTTACACATAACAGTATGTTTCAAGTCAAAAATAAGTACTACATAGCCTATGAACAAAAGAGGGACGAGATGCCTTTTATTGAAGGTAAGGCGCTCACCTCACAATACAAATATTTTTGGACTAGATGTGTTTGGATAGCCCACTTTTGTAGTGTAAAAAACTGTACTGTTTAATCGTGGAAACGTTATAGATAACTGCAAACCTTTGTTACATTTATTGTATGTTAAAACGAGCAGTCTTCAAACTGCATCCACGGATGAAAAGCAATATAAAAAAGTGGATATGGAGCTTGATCCGAACTAAAAGTAAGGATATTTCGGGCTTTGTTGCGTTTCTGACCATCTTTGTGTCTCTTTATGAAAAGCAAAACTGAATCACAGTATACCCTTTAAGAATCAATATATTCCTATAAAGCTGGATCAGAAAAACCTGGATCAAATATTAAATTACTTCAAATACATTTAAGTGACTTTCCCCCCACCACAAAGCTTGAAAAACCTTTAATCCAAAACAATCTGTCAAGACATTGTACACAATTGTAGTAAATTCATTTGGAGCCATTACAGTATATAAACATTTTAAACTTCAATTCCCACATATTGTATGAACACCAC